CCTCCTACATCGGAATGGCTACCACAACCACATCGGTCTTGTTTAACAAAATTGCTGTAATGTATATGGCAAACTGAACCAGTCAACATTGTGCATGACTAATTTGGAATAGGTTAAATGATTTTTTTAAATGCTGGTAATAGGTGTACCTGATATGACATTAATCCTAGGATATATATAGTATAACATGGACCCTTTATTATGTAACTATGAATGCTTATTTATATACATGTTTTGAGTGGGGTTGATTTAGCATATATAACCTTTATTGCGGTATAATGAAAAGTGTAAACTGAGTCTCCAGTGTGTCTTCTTTTAATTCTGTTTTTAACTAGCCATCAAGTGAACTCTGAACAGTATTGTACATATTTTCACACTTAATGCTCTCATTTTCTTAAATTGAATGTTTCTGAATTATAATGTGTTATCTGATTGTCTACTAAATTGTTTTGTAACAAGTTTACCATACTTTCTGAGAACAGAAAAAATGCAGTAAAGTCCAAATTCTATCAATTTATCATGTTATGATTTACTTAAGTGTCTTAAATCATTTACTCAAATGTGTCTTCTGTAAGCTGAAACTCTCTTTGAAATCTCATAACAAATTAGTCTGTTCTGATTTACTCATTTTCTTGTTTATTTCTTACCCAGAGTTTTGTTTATCTAGAAACATTCTATACACTTCCTGTAAATGTTACAGGATGTCCCAGTATTAAGTGTATATGTAATGTTTATCGTATATGCTTTGTCCATAAAGTAAAAATTATATTTCAAAACATGTTATCTTGTATAATAATAGTTTAATGACAAGATCTGATGTTACCTTAAATTAGAATATTTTGCTAAAAGACTACAAGTACATATGAAGACATTAGTAATATTAATAGCCTCCTTAAAGAGTTGTATTTGCTGAGTAGACCCAAATTGGTACTTGTTAGGTAAGTTGATCAGAATGAGGTGCCAAATGAATGTTTATATCACATAAACCCTTTGATACATGAAGTTTTTCACTGATGAAAGAGAAATAATGTATAGTTTTATGTCGTACATTTTCTAAGTTGCTAAAAACTGAAGGACATGGAAACTGTTGTTGCTCAGTCTTTACTGTTTTACCTTTATACACCAGAATTTATCTTATCTTGAAACATGAGTGTACACTTGTAATTTTGATAAGATCTCAAAATAAAACCTGCTTTAATAACTTTATGTTATAATAATGTTTTATATGTGTATACAAAATGATGAAGAAACCAGCTGTTATTTTGTAATGTAATATTCACAGAGTTGTTCTGGTGAACATTGTATAGAGTGCTGAGCAACTATGAAGGATAAGTAACCATAAAAGAAATATTATTTATGCATGTGCTAAACCAAACCTAGAGAAATTATTAAATATATAATTACACATTGTTCTTTTATATTACTAAATATTGGAAGATGACCAATATTCAAATTTCAGACAATTTAAAATAATCGGAGCCAAATAATAAAAAACTTAGAACTCAAAATCGAATTGGTTCTTGTACAGAAGTAGATATTTATATGATGAAAGCAATATATGCTTTCTTTAGAGGGGATTAACAAATTCATATAAGGATTAAATATTGTAATTGTCTTAGCAACACAAATAAAGTGGTAAACACAGGCCTGATAAATAGTTAATAGTCTGTATCCTTGAATCTGTTAGAAATGGATGCTCCGTAAGGAAGGTCTATCATAAGCCTCAAGACCCTCTTCTGTAACAGCCAGTTCAGGCTTAACATACTAAAGTGTGAGCCCCAAACATTTAAACAATAATTCATTTGACCAAAGAAGATGGTGTAATAGATTTGATAGAGGACTCGAAATGGGAAAACCCTCTTACAACACAAGCTTTTTAGAAATCATTTCAATTTGTTCATCCCATCTGAGATTATTCTAAACAATAACTCCAAGAATCTGTATTTAATCAACCCTGGATATAGTAATGCCATCAAAACTCATCATTTACCTGTTCCATTGATATAATCTTATATTGTAGCTTGAAAATATTTAAAACCAGGCAGTTGTCAAGAGACCAGGTAGTGATAGAAAACAACTCAATATTGACCATTTTAAAACATTCAGCAAGAGTATTGGCTTCTATGGTAAGAATCATATCATCAGCATACAAAGTGCAAGTATCACTTGAATATACAAAAGTTATTTACGTAAATAATAGATATGACGGTCCAAGGATTGGGCCTTGAGGAACCACACAATAAAATACTACAGAAATGAGACTTTATTCCATTAATTGAGGTGTAGCATTGCCTGTTTATCAGGTATGTTTTAATTAAGAATATCATAAATATTACCACGTGGATTGTAATTAGCACATTTATGAATTAAAACTTTTTGATTGACACAGTCAAATGTCTTGCCAATATCTAGTTTAATATCATTGTTAATAGGCTAATTACATCATTTGTGAAGGAAACAAAGTAAGATCGAAAAGTGTATGACATACTTTAAATGGAAACTAAGTGTACAAAATTTATTAATTAGCCTTATTGTTATCAACATTTTCAAAATTACAAAAACTATGACTTGTTTTTAAAATTATCAACTTAAAAAAAAATTCTAAAAGATCCATTTTTTATGGAAGTTTTGTACCTGTACTCTATTTTGATTTCTGATTAATAGCTAATACAAGAGTTTAATTTATATTAAAAGAATTATTCTTTTGAATTTTTATCCCATTAAAATATTTTTTGGTAAATTATTGGCTTAAGCACAGATTTGTTAATTAAATGGAAAATTTTAGAATTTTTCGTATTTTCTTCTAAAAGTCAGTTTATATGTTGCTGCAGTTAAAGCTCTAGTGACAATTTCAAAATCTGAATGCAGGTAATGAAACTGAAATTTCATCAAATCTCCAGCTATTAACAAGAATTTCTGAGTGAATGAAAAGAAGAGTTGATAATAACATGTCAATCACACTATATCTGCTATATTCATTGGACAAGGTCTTTAGCCCATCACCAGGGTTCTTCAGGCTGGCTGGGATATGATAGTCATAGTATTGGTTGAAACACTAATTGTATTAGAAAATTTCTTGTCAACTGGATTTAGATGATGATGAGTGTAAATTGATGTTCATAAGCAGTAGTTGAAGCAGTTTTGTAAATTTTTGCTGTTATGGGACCATTAAATTATTTTCTGTTTTCTTTATTTTTAACATTCCCGAACAATGCCTAAACTTTATAATATACTCTCATATATATCTTACATAGTTCTATCGTGTAGTTGATGGTTGTATAAACATTTCTTTTGTATGTTAATTGGAAGATGTGACTTTGTGTTTTAAGCTTTAGAGATTATGCTTGTAATAAGCAAATGGTTTTGTTAGGCCACAATAGTGACAAAATATTTCTATATTATTTTCAAATTATGTGTAAAACTTCAAACTGCTGATGTTTCTGTTATATTTTCCAAGTTTTTTGTACACAATTTTTGTGCTGTTGTAGTTGAATGAATAAAGACTTATTTAACATTATTCAAGATATTTTAGTTTATAATTCTAGTGGGTAGAATGCTCAGACTGGAAACCTGAGGGTTCATGGTTTGTGTCCTATTGCAGCAAAAACCATTCTGCATTTTGGGGTGGTGGGAGGATGTTTATTCAGATGACTAAATCAAACAATTCTGTCACATAAGAGTTGATGGTGGATGCTGTTAACTAGGTGCCTTAGTTATACTTTTATCATTTGTGTAGCTTTGGAAAACTTTCAGAGATATATTTGATTATGTATTTACTTACACTACTTATAATGGAAAATTTTAAAGGCTATATGAAATATATCATTAAAATAACTTCAGTTTTCCATTTTATAAAGAAAACATTTTAACCTCACACCAGTTACAACAAGAGATATTTTCCACTTGATATTTTATACATTTGACATATAAGGAAGAATGCTTTTAAACTTAACACAAAGCACATCAATCAGCATTCTAAAGTTTAACACAAGTAAAATACAAAGTTTCACACACTTACATAGGATGAAAGAAATCCTCTTAACATCGAAGCTTCTAGTTCTTTATCTTTCATACACTTGCATATTTTTTATACATATAAAATTGTCATTTTATGTTATATATATGTAATGATTTATACAGAGGTTGAGTATGTTAAAACAATTTTGGACTTTCACCATGTAGCCATACTGTGTCTGATGGCTTTGCATCTTCAAAATAGGCCTGCAGCAGAGTTTCTCTTGCAAAAGGCTCTGTATAAGGCTGTCACATGAAAAGCACACTACTGCTCCCAGCATACTTTCCATAAGCTATTTTTGTAAGAGGACAACAGTTTCAATAGTTTGATTGCACAGAAATCTATTGGCAACTTGACCTTTAATTCTTTGTATGGAACAACATGAATACCCATTTCATTCTCTAGCTCCTAAATTTAGTCAATAACCCATCCCTGTATTAAAAAAAAAAGTCAAGATTGAAAATATGTGTTTAACTAGTGTGAACA